TCCTGGTATTGCTTTCAACAGCGATTACAACATAATACGTCGAGGAATTACATGACTACTACCTGCGGGATGTGTCACGCGTTGTGGTCTTGTGATCTATGGACTGCAAACCTTTCTGGATTGAATTTCGGTGGTGTAATCGGTGTTGTTTTAACTAATCTCCTAATCATACAACTACATCTAATTACTTTTAGCAACATTTTGGGCTAAGACTATTTTTTTCCAAGTCAAATTTGTCCCACTGCAGTGTAAACTTTTGTCAACTTAAAGTACGGGGTTCCCGTGACCCCGTCTGTGCTTGGCTGGAGACGTTGCGAGCAATGGCGGCTAATCGATGTCAATGGCATTCGTGCTGGGCTTTTAATATAATTATATATATATATATATATATATATATATGTACATATAACCAGACGAATCTTATGGTTGCACGGCACTGAAGCATCAGTGCCAGCACTGATGTTGCTGTCTTTGATGATGATGATGACATTATGGGCAAAACCATCAGATATACACTGACCTGACGACGAGATCCCGAAAACATTAACGTTCGTCGCTGCGTTCTCGTTGAAGCTATGAGCATAATCAAGTAATTATGGGAACGCAAAGATCCATCGGTGATTAAGGAGCTAAATTGTTATTTGGGCCTCAACATCAGAGTTGAGGAGACGGGTACGTCAATCGAATTCCTTGAGGGATGCATTGAACTCGGTCAATACCTGAAAATCTATCGGAATCAACCACGTAGAAACCGTATCTGCAACGATGTCTTCTCGCTAAAGCAAAATCCACGCAGCCAGCTTGATTCACTGTGCGCGCAGGCAACCTAGTACCGTTGAATAGCCAACCAAAGACTATACATCGTACGGGGTCTTCCAAAGGCTGAGTGTCAAGACCTCATAGCTTACGTTTAAAGTATTTCAACGAAACAGGCTGGAGACAAAACACCCAGGCTGAACAAAACCCCAAATGAGGAAAAGCCGCAAGCCAAATTCTCAAAAAAATTCAGAGGTAGATAAAACTAGAAATTTTTATCGCTAGGGATGGGATTCCCCTTTTCACGTCGTAGGAATGACAGATTGGCGATTGCAATGCAACTTGAGGACCTATTTGATTTAGTGATTTAGTTACGACTTCCGTGGCCAACTTAGCGCACCTCAAATCCGGTCTTTAGCTGCGGCTATCAGTACAGTCACACTAACACAGATCACATAAGTCTTCTCACTGAGAAACGGCTGGATGCCCTAAGAGTTCAACTAGTCAGTGACAAAGTCTGATAAAGGAGAAGGGACGGAACTTTCTAGCAAGGATAACTACCTAAGAAAGATGATGTAGATGTTGAACGGAACTATTATCCAAAGACATTAGGGGCTGCGTTATAGTCCTAGGAAAGATGTCCCACTAAGACACGTTTCGGATATGTGCACTTCTCCATATCACTTAACTTTCTAATGGTTGGTCGAGATTTCTAGAGAAAGTCATAGCCAAAAATGTCTGAACGTCGTGTCATGACCATTGCAAAGAAGCCAGTCTATCTGAGTCTACATTATAAAGCTAATCTGTTAGCTGGCACCAATCGCCGATTGTTTCAATCCTAACAACGGGCTGCAACTCTGTGATCTTGATTTACAACCAATCCTCAAACACAAGATACCGGTCCTCACTCAGAATAAGTTTGTGTATTCTTTCTCCTGCTGTTTTTCAGTATAATATGTTCAGTAACTTACAAAGAGAATGTGTGAGCATCTCTCTTGCTGTAAATCACTAGACTCAGTCGTTGAGCCAAAAGCTTGACGTGTAGCACATCATTTCCACCGGTCACATTATCAGTCCGAATGAGTCACTTCCCACCGTCAATCGATCACCCAATAGGCGGCTTGACTATGGCCGAAGCAGTCGCATTACAATTTTGAAATCCGGTACTGAAATGTACTCTGCTGTAGGAGCGTGAGTGTGCCCTCGGGCACAAAAATCGATCAACCTAGTCGCTCAACGGCACTCTAGACCATATCACGTCATCCAATCAGGTATCACTTGAGTTGTACCGAACGTGATTCTTCGTCCTCTGGTTTACTAAACAGTCTTAGATGTTTACTTCATTATTAGTCGTATTTAAACCATGAGATACGTACTAATCTGAAGACGAGATTCCAAAAACATTGATGTTATTCACTGTGTTATTGTTAAAACAGCTCGCAAAACCATTTCATGCAAGAGTAAAAAACGAGTACGATCTCGATACTTGACATGATGCGGAAAGTGGTATGTTAACCGAAAAGCATCAAAAACCGAAAGAAAACAAATATTGATAAGGTAATTTGTTTGGAAGAAGCTGCGACGTTTCAGGCAAAATTAGTTCTAAAGAGATTTTGCTGACTCAAAATACATGCGTATCATATTCCAATGAGGCTGATATAAGATGGGAACTATTGATGAAAATGCAACCACGATTATCTGTTTAATGGTACAAGTGATAACTACATCAAGTTCTTGGTAACAGTAGCAGGGACAACTATTTCAAATTACTCCTGTGAGACTACTGTCACCTTGAGTGAGGTAATTTGACTCTGATACTGTCCAAAGTCGCGCCCACTAATGAATTATGTAAAGCCGATTTTTAGTTGATCAGGTGGTTATTGATCCGTTCACCGAGCTTCGCAAATGTTTCGTCACCATTCAAGCAGACGAGATCAGTGCGCATTTGGATGAGTGAATTCAATTCATGCTACAGAGGTACCTCTATAAACAGTAGTTTTCGGCTATTTACTTCCCTTCATTTCTAATGAATGTGTCTATCCGAGGTAGACAAAGTAAACCTTCACTGATGCAAACCACGTAAGTTGGTGGTGTGTCTAAATATTGGTAAACTCATTGCGTTTACTACTAGTGGTTGATCAGGTGGCCGTTTATCTGTTCAAAGAACTCGGCAGTCAGCTTACAAACATTTCGGTACCAACTGAGCAGACATTATCAGTGCACAGTTGGGTGGTCCACGCAATCCACAAAGCTTAACTCTGTTTAACGGTCTGCTTGTCTTTTGTGAACCACCACCATAATCAACATTGACAGCTGTAATACCCGCGTGCTCGTCGTACAGTGGTTGTAGCTGCCGCAGTTTCGTTTACCGATGATAGGGGGTAGGTGGCTGCGCATTGCAGGCGGGAAGTGATAAATTGGTGCATAAATCCAGCACTGTCAGTGGGCTGTCAAGTGAAGGGGTTGGGGTTGGAAAAGGGGCTATGCATTGAAGACAATAGCTTGGATCCACGAGCGCCATTGAGGGCGCGACTGGGCCATGTCTGACAATGCCTCTAGCCATTGATGTGGCCCGTCTCTGGGTCCCCATCCAGGAAGACGGCAGTGATCAGCGCAGCTGGGTTTGCTGGTAACGGTTTTCATACTTCACTGCCAAGTAATTTTTTGACCACCTCTGGGTCTCTTCCACCCTTCATGCGGTTGTGCGAAAAGAGCCCTTCGAAGAATTCGGTCGACTGGCATACGCAACACGTGGCCAAGCCAGCGCAACCTATGCAGTGTGATCAGTTCATCTATCCAGGGTGAGTTGTTTCTCCTGAATACCATTCGACGTACTTCAGAATTGCTGATCCGGTGTTCCCACCAGATTCGGGCAATGCTCCGAAGGCATCGATGGTCAAACACTGAAAGTTTTTTGACGTCCTCGGCGCGCAGCGACCAGGTTTCTGATCCATATAGTAATATGGAGCTTTTTTTGATTTAACGAGGTTAGATATAACTGACATGACAAGAACACTGGTTCTTACAACTGGATTTATTCAACCAACAGCGGTTCTCCATGTTTTGCTCTCAGTTTAGAACCGCTGTGATTTCATGTACGTAAATTTATTATCTTCATCACTATATGACCCAAGAGAGTAATGAAAACGCACAATCGTAGAACATATACCTTTCAAGTATCAATGGGGATTTTTTGAACTATTACATGCTCGAAAAATTATCATGGTCCTAAAGGTCGCAGGCAACACTTCTGAGGAGGTCCCCATGCGACCCGCCGGTGTATTAGGAACTGAGAACTTTCACAACTTCCTTAGAAAACCCAACATCTTGCGTACTACTTAGTGCATACTATGGCTACGTCTTATCCATTGAAAGGATGAAGCGGGAGAGTCCTGCCGCAAAAGACATGGTATTTTCATGCTCCCAAATCCTGCCTGTATTTTAATTCTTCAGAAAGACCAGGATAGTTTGTCTCAGTAATCAAGCCCTCCAGTCTGTTACAGACTAACGGACTAGACTTTTTGTCACGGAGCAATTAATCGGCGAACTAGCTTTTAACTGTTTTGCAGAAGAAGAGTAGAAGAAGAAGAGTAGACAGGAACCGCATTAGGGAAATAGTTCACAGTTCACGTTTTCGGAAAAGTTTGGTAACAATCGGTGGATTTATTGCTGGACAACGTCTCGCTTTTGACGCAAAAGCTTCGGCACAGTCCACCTTTAATACTGGGTGCACGCGACCAGAGTGCGGTGTGATTGTATATGGGACGGAATTTCGCAGATGTCAACGGCGGTAGTGTGATAGTCAGTTATCTGGTTTGAACAACTCGGAAGTATACTATTTGACTTTCTGTCCAAAGTGTAGCGGAGAAACAGCTCATGAGCCGACTTACGGTGAGCAAAGTGAGAGAATTCACCACTTCTTGCAACAACCGTCACATTCATAGTTAGTGCACCTGTCTAGCTGCCTAAGAGATTGAAAAACGAGGTACGATGGAAAACCAATGAGCGGAAAATCGTCGTGCATAGAAACTTTTACGGATTCGTCTTGCTTTCTATGTGGTTGAACTCCCCTCTGAAAGTTCCACAGCTGATTGTGCAACAAAGGCGGCGTACAGCAATCAACCACGTGACCATTGATTTTGTTACCAGCGGCTGGCTCGTTCAAACTGCAGATGCGATTGATCCCCGACCAACCTTAGCAAGAGTTGGCAGGTTAGAACGGGTGGAGAGATATTACACCGAAAATGGCGAAGCTGTCACCAGAACAAATAAATGTACTCTCTGTTCGGGCTTATTATGACAACAAAACGTTTACCAACACAACAGAAATGACCAACTTGCTGAAATACGAGAGTCAACATTTTCGATGTAAAGTTCAACTGGAAATAAGTGAGTGCATTGCGGATCGGTGTTGGAGTGTTGGGCTCGTACAAGCCTGTGACCGAATGTATTTGGAGAATCGATACGGACACAGTGGTAGTTCATTTTGGGAGTTCCATCCCCTTAAAAGTGGTCGACATAAGATGGTTAATGATAGTGATGGTCGTCAATATCCATTCTACAGTCTAACAAGCAGCAAGTTTGAAATACGTCGAGGCGTTGTCTCGGACAGCTTAGTATCGCTCACTTATGAAGATCATTTCTATCCGACAGTGGCTTGGGAACTACCTTATTATGGCGGTGCAAAACTAACCGACGTTATCCGGAAACAAGACTTCTGGGTTTGGTTGGTTGCAATCAAACGTTCTGGAAGTCGTTCAGCATCATGCGATGTATTCAACGCCAAACATGACGAAGTTTATATCCTGAAAACTATGCGATGGCGATATGGTCTGCATATGACATTCGATCCACACCAACCAATTGGTAAGCGACTGCAAAGGATCTACGACGTCCAAGAAGAACAACCGGTTATCCTGGAAAGTAATCGCCCACTACCTCTGTCAGCACTTAGTCCTCCGCACTGTAACGCAGCCCAATCCCTAATATGGTATCCGAACAACCCAACAGACAAACCGAAGCTGCTTGTGCCTCCGAAACAAATCATTGTTCCGTGGGAAACCTGGACCAATGATATGGCTCCGGGGCGTGCTCTGAGCGTGAAGAAGCCAGATCAGTGCAAACTGGTCGGGGAATGGGCCCACGATACGGAAATCGGCATTGATGTGAGCCCGGTGAAAAAATCCGGTGCCAGTCATGTATGGAAACCTGCACCACCGTCGTTAGACGCTACTACGCTATCAACCACGAGGTCTGCACGAACACCTAGCCGTCCGCGAGGCTAGATAATTAATTACTACCTGGATCCAGAATAAAATCAATCACCATGGCCCTCAAGAAAGGCTAGTTTTGAGTGAACACCATAACACATCTTCAGCGAACTTACCCACCTGGTTTTATCTGTGGATGTAAAGAAACGCCCGTTCGCCTGATTCGATCTACCCACTGTGTCCATCTTACCAACCTGTCCAACTATCTTTCCACATCTTACTCGGTCTCACGTCCTTTCCGTTCTTTTATTCTGCCTTGTTGTGAGTCCATACTGAAGCCTGTCTTCATCTGTGTCGTTTGTGTCAACACAACCCATCAACCTGCTTTGGTCTCCTTGAACTTTCCTCTCTCTCTCAGTCCATGGCTGTCCAGTATGCAAGAAAGAAAAAGCTTCCGCGTTTTTATTTTATCAACATTAAATGTTTTCTATGCGGGAGCGTTACTGTTTTACAGCAAGTGGTCCAACAATACCAGTGGGATTTCCATCAGTGTCCTCGAAATGACCTGACGGTCTGAAAACAGGACTCAGGTGAGTTTTTTCAGTGAACCAAGACAACCAAGTTTCAAAATGAGTGTTTGATAACAATGGGGGCTTCAAAAAAGTAGGGTCTGATTGTTCCCCTCCAATGGGAAGTCACATCATCCAACCTCAAAGCAGATTAATGAATCGTGGCTGCTTGGCTGGTATCCATAAGCAAACAAAGTGACCCCTCTACACTTCAGTTAACCATACAGAGCAGTGGTGAAGCCCAGAAGTGCATGCTGGTTTTATCGCTCATTAAGACGGTGAGGATAATCAGCGGCAACCAACATCAATATGATAACAGTGAAAATGAGGACTGATGAGGGGCGGAATGAAACTGAATAGGTGTCTCAAAAGTACGGTGTAAGAAAAGAGGTGGAATTGGAAGCCACTTCAGGCACTTACACATGCGCTCGCCCTCAATAAAGCTTTCAAGGATTTACACAGGGGTCAGCCAGTGGGAGGAAGAACCGTTAATACGTTCAAACAATGGAGGTGTACTGAACGAAACACTCCGATGGATGGATAAGATATTTATTCCCAGCTGGTATTCAAATGGGTTACGTCCTTCAAACCGTGCACCTAGCTTCGTTAGTTCTGTCGGGGAGGGGTTGCAACAAACTGACGAAAATCATCCATAGTAAAATGAAAGAGAGACTAAAAGTGGTCTGCGACTCAGGCAGCCTGCAATCCAGCGAGAGGCATTCCAAGTTGTGGAGTGCTTTCCATATCTTGAGAGTTGTATTAGTTCTGATTGTAGTGTGACGAATCAGGTCAATGCACGAATTTGCAAGGCCCGGGTCGCGTTTGCTAATTGGAGATACCTATCCCTGAATCTCATAGGACGTGTTTAGAAAGCTGCAGTACGAACTGTTTTGTCGTATGGCTGTGGACTTTGCCTGTTCGAGTAGCGGAGCTGAAAAATCTTCAGGTGTTCGACAATCGTTATCTCAGAACTATAGCTCTTGTGGTTTGGTGTCGGCGAATCCGTGACAAAGCTATTAGAAAGCGAGTTTTCAGTCGTGCAACGGAGAGTCTCATTGAACGTGTTGAGCACCAGAATCTGCATTATTGCGTATGTATTGCGTACGCCGAACCATCGTTTGCCGTGCCCAATTAGGGGAAGAGAGAGGTGGTTGACTCTTGAGCTGGTAGATGGGTATGAAACTGATTACGAAATGTCTGGGTGCTGTCGGTTTTACTTGGCTATCAGGATGGAGGCCGCGTGATCCTAACTACGCCCGGTCAGAGAAGCCGAAAAATCTGGCTGCCAACCAATGTTAGTAGCGATCTTGTTGTCAGTTGCTATCCAGATTGCCTGAAAGAGTATCTGGAGGTGTGAGTACCTCGAAATGACTGTAGCAAGGTAGCACGAAGTCCTCTATCCGTCCACTTCTATTGTTTTTTCTCCAAATATATCATGGTTTTACGGCAACAAATCATCAGCTTTGAACACTGATACCGTGCAATCGATGATGATGAATCTGACGAATCTGAGAAGCTTTTGCACCAGATGAAAAAGCATTTTCGTACGAATCTTGTGCTGAATAGACTGTACTTACTTACTGTCCGTAGTGCTGATTTATCCCGGAGAACTATTTTGTTACTTTGAGATTTGTGCGCTTAACCACAAAGGCATGGATGCAAGAGAAATTTTATATAGTGTGAAGTCAGAAAAATTCCACCGTGGAGCGGGTGCCACCGTACTTTTACCGGAATAGTCTAGATTCTTCAACTGGATATGCCTTGAGTATTTACTGGCCCACTGATTTGGATAAAACGGTTAGAAGACTTTATAAACTGTAGCACAAACGATAAATATAGAATACTGTTGAAATGTTCTAAACTGAACTGAGAATATCTAGCTACAGTCAAGAAAATCATCCACTAATTTCGTAAATTCCTCCTGATACTCCAACTTTCCGTTGAAGATTTTGCAAGCAGTAAAAAACTCATCCAAATCGTACACCTCATTTTTCTAGATATGGGAGCTTTGGATACTCTTGCTGAGTCAGTCGGTAAACCAGTTTATAGAAAAAGGCAATTAATCCCGCGGTTGCTCAAAGGTCCCCCATTCCGTAGTCCAACAGCATTGAATGATCCATGGTGCAGATATGATGTCAAGTGAGATGCACTGGCCGACACGATGAAAACATATCCGGTTCTCGATTTCAAACAGATACAATAGCCCTTTAAAGGTCATCTTAAAAACACTGGGCCTGAATTCTGCACTCCGTTGATATTTTTACAAGGATGTTTTATCAAATTACTCCATGAGGTACATTGGTAGTCGTCATTAAATGATCATGATGAACGAAAGCTGTCACCCTGTGGTGATCAGGCTTCAGTGCTGCAATGATCCTGAGGGTTACATGGGAGGGAGGACTCCGTTCCTTAATGTTCAGCCATGGCAAGAGGGCCAGCAGATGGCAGCCCAATGAAGGACAGTAACCCCCCGTACTGTAGGGAATCGTATTACGTGATGGACTGGAGGAAACTGCGTACTGTCCTCTGTTTTAAGCGTGTGAAATAAGTAAGGCATATTCTTCAGGCGACCAGCAGCAATGCTGCCTTCATACGAGGAAGGGGGTAGATAAAGTCGGCAATAAAAATCGCGCAGTAAGATTGCCCGGTGGTTGACGTGACCGTCAGTGTATTAGTAATTACCGTCAAAGTACTTTTATACCCGAAGATTCTGGTACTGCTCAGGTGCCTGTTGTGCGCAGCTGCACTAGCAGTCAGGTACCGATTTCTTACGCCACATGCCCAAGGATCACACCATCAAGTACAACCAAGTGCATCAGACAACTGAGTCGGTGACTCTGGAAACGGCTCCTGAATAAAACCCTTAAAACCGATATGTTGCGGTCCATACATTTGAGCCAAATGATAGAATCAGGGCCCCACATTCTTCCGCTACATGGTGGGTCACATCTTTGAGTCAAAGGCTCAACCAAACCCCCTTCTTCGCCATGACAGCCATGAACATTCTTCCGCTACATGGTGGGTCACATCTTTGAGTCAAAGGCTCAACCAAACCCCCTTCTTCGGCATGGACAGCCATGAAGTATCATTCGTTTTTACGGCTCTTCGTTCAATGACCCCTTCCTAGACGTCCTTTACCCAAGTCAGTCCGATTCATTTCGATATCAGTCAGCTGACCGTAACTCCGTATCTGAGATTCTGCACAGTAAAATAAATAAAAATGAACCCTTATTAGATTCAAGGGATCAGTTCCACATCGGTGCCTTCGAACTCCGTAATTTGTGTCAAACTGGCCAATAGATAGCTCTTCTCAGACATTGACCTCTCATTCGATCGAAGTATGTTGTGTCTCCAAATCATGCACACAAAACCCCACTTCGGCCATACACCTCAAACCGTTCGGGGCGAACTCAGATTTCACGCACTTCACTCGTGTGCCAGTTTTACTGATGTTGATGATGGATTGTGGTATCTACGACGAGGAGGCTGTGCTTAGCCCCACAGGTGGCTGCGTTTTCACTGGACTGAATTCTACTGAACAGTCGTCCCTGTATCGCTAAGTTGACTGGTTCTATCAAGATCGGTGAGCTGTTTCCTTGTTGTATCATCATACACTCCGACGGCCGGTCGGTGAGAGGATGAGGACAGCTTCTATCGAGATTTGTCAAGATTGCATTGATCAGCGGGAAGTATAGATATGGGGATTATGGTGGGTGTAATGAGTCCTCAGGTTGGCCGATGAAGTATTGACGAAGCCCATCTTAACGACCGATTCGGGGTTAGCACTCATCACGACGTCTTCACTTATGTGCTGAACACCGTTTATTTCTAGAAGGCACAAACTTCCAGCACCAGTGCTCATATCGCGTGACTTGGAAGCCTTCAAATGCGAACCAGCTGTGGACTCAGTTGGATCATATGACAATCAGTTATCAGTGGGGAGCTTCAATACACAATTATCATCCACTTTGGAGTACACCACTTGACGGTGTCGACTGGAGTTCGATGAGAAGCTTCAAGAACTCAGCGGGTACAAAGGTCGTAATGGTGGTTTGGGTGACTATTGGAAAAGGGCGAATTTACTCACCGGAAATTCCAGGGTTCGAAACTGGCAGTATCCCGGCCCCCTGCTTCCTTCTGGGGTCATGGCAGTTAGGCACCGATAGGTACTACAGCTGAGAGGAGAAGGGCAACAGCAACCTTTAAAGCAATCTGTCCGAGGTCACTCAAACACTCGGATGAACACTGGATCTCGTCGTCCGTATCAGCAGCTTGACTGAATCAGGAAAACTACACCAATAATAAACGACTATGATGGTGCGCACATATTCCTGAGACGTCGAATAGAGAAAAGCCCAAGGATTGGTAAAGAATCCTAGTGGGCCGAAAATCGTAGAGGCCTTCTGTAACGGGGAACAATCGCACCCTGTTCCAGGTTATCCAATCAACTGGTTTGGGGATGGATTCTAGCGAAACGATTTCCGAAAACGATGGGACCTCAATTCATTCGGATGATGGGCTGAACCCTCTGAAGAACATTTCAGCTAAACCACATCAACTCACCCTCCGAAGCAACTAACTGAACCCTAGTGGAACGTGCACATAAATCCGCCATCAAAAACAGAATTTCAGTGTACAATTTCAATGCTTCAGCTCAGCAAAGCACCTGGTCTATGTGGCTTGCTTGCATCTTGCACTATTCAAAGTAGCGAGTCCGTAATGGCGAACCTAACGACCCGACTCCCAAACATCTGGAGTGATTGAACAGCACTGACAGAGTGGAACGTTTCGACGCTGATTCCCATATTCAAAAAGCATGGAGAAACACCGAATGAAACCCACCAGGGTATCAGCCTGGTGGCCATAGCTTCCAAGTTTTTCGCTCGCACTATCCTGCGCAGGTTGATTCGTCCCTTGGAGAGTCAGATTCAAAAGAATCCAACTGAAATTTGCCATGAACGGCCGTCCAAATGTGATTCCAAGGAGTTTAGACGACCGACTTGTGCACTCATATCATCCGCAAGTATCATAACGTCAGTGCTTCTTGCTTGACGAATGAGCCTTGATAAATCTCGATAGAAGGTCTCCCTCTCAGCGTCAGAACCGCAGTCCGATGGGGCATAAGCCAACACTACAAACAGGCACAGCATTGAGGTTGAGTGAGCTTGATAACCAGGCGGCGCAAAGACGACTGTTCAGTGGGATTAAATCCGACGAATCACGTCCAACTCTAGGGCTGAGTGCAACCCCAACGCCATTTAGTTTACTAGTTATCGATTCTGGATCACCTGAGACACAGAGGGAGGTGTGAAAGTTGAGTTAGTCGTTGGCGCTTTGAGATGTATAACCACCCTTTGGTCTTGTATACGAGTTTCGGAGACAGCATACTTCAATTTCAGGGGGATACAGTGTTTCAGAGAGCATTGCCTATTTGCCAATTTGACATACACTTTGGACGTTAAAAGCTCCTATGTAGAAAGGATCTCGCGGATTTAGAAAGGTATTATTTGTTTATTTTTAACAAGCAGCAAGGAGCTTAAGGTCCTTCGGTCAGATAACTAGCGGTCAAATGACCCAAAAACATTTTCTTGTGCTGTGGGAAGGGGTTGGGTAGGAACATTGGTGGACAAAGAACTGTGCGGGTAAATGATACTTCCCGGTTACCCAGGCCCAGGAGTGGATTTGGTTGGGGTACCCCACCTCGAGCCTTTGACTCAAAAGTCTTACCAATAAGTAAGTAGGGGGTGTAATGTTTTCTTCGGGGACCCTGCCCCTAGCCTCTGACCCAAATGTCTGACCCGCGAGCAAGCGGATAGTGGGTTTTCTTTGGGGGCCCTGCCGGGAGCCGATGACTCCGTAGTCTGACCTTCTCGGCTGCAGGTCGCCCTAACTTGACGGCGCTCCTGATGAGTATGAGCGCAGCAGGCACCTTTTGATCACCACCAGACTTTTTATTTGAAACATATTTCGACCGTATTGAATAACGCGCCGCGGTCACGTCAACCGTTGGGCGATCGGAGTGTGCAGTTTTAAGGGCCGACTTTTTCTAACCCGTCCTTCCTCGGAAGAAGGCAGCATCGCTGCTTCCGTGAATATGGACATGCTGGTTGGCTGGGGGAAACACCTTACTGTCTTCACACTACTATCGCAGAGGACACGACGACTTTACCCCCAGACCGCCTTATTGCATAATTACTCTTAGTACGGGATCTCGCTGCTCTTCGTCTGATTGCTCCTCTTTGGCCTTCCTGGCATGGTTGCACCTTGTGGAAGGAATTTCCAGCCAGTATAGTTCGCGGTTTGATTGCAGCAGTCAAGCCCGACTTTCACGTCAAGGTGACGGCTTTAGGTCGGGATTATACTGTAAATTATACTTGGCAATTTAACAGTGTTGAGATACGATTATTCCCACACGTCGATGAGAATCGGCTGATATAACGGTGTCGATGTGTTAGCTACGGAACAGACAGCAATGAAACACCGGATTCAACTGCTGTACTTTTTTCCAAAGATGACGAGAATGACAAGACAGCTGTCCAGAAAAACGACTGCCTCAAAAGTACAGAGACGTTGACAGAATGCGGGTCGAAACGACTGTGAGTTGATGGCGATAACTGCTAAAATTGTCACAAGATTACAAGCAGGACGCAAGGGAAAACCAGGTGCACATAGCAGATAGTCAAGCGCGTTACAATTAAACAGGCGTAAACGTTTGCAATCAGGTGAAAAACGCTTGAAACGTTTGGTAACAATTGGTAGATTTATTGCTGGGCAATGTTTCGCTTTTGACACAAAAGCTTCGCCAGGCCAAGTGACTAGGTCGAGAACCAATCAGCTATGTCAAGTTTTTGTGTTAGGGTGGGTGACCAAGTATTAGGTCGGTGGGGAAACCTACATGGATTCGGGTCGTCTAGGATCTAGTTCTTCTGGTTCAGTTCACGTGATGATCCCTCTCGAACGTCGTTTGCACTTTCCGTCCATTAGTGTGGAGGAGCTAGTGCTACGATAGTTGTGTGAAAGGGATTCTGTGAACTCTGGTCGGGTTGGGATTTCCACCACTCTGTTTTTTGATGATTCTACGTGAATTGACAACCATACGGTCACGTGTAAACTCGGCTTATCTGAAACCGCTTTCCATACCCTCGCCAGTTCCACACCCGCGATTCTGTTCACACTGAGGCTTGGTGATTTCCACCGCCTCGGCTATCAACCGCTGTGGTGAGAATCGCAGTCCTCGTCTTGAAACTTCCATACTCTTCAGATCCTGACGAGTCTGGTGTGTCGAAAGCGAAACGTTGCCCAGCAATAAACCCGCCGATTGTTACCCAACTTTTCCGAAAGTGTAAACGTGCTTTCATCCCGACTATGCATTAATTCACAAGTATCCTTCAACCGATAAGCACTGAACTGATGTTGATTCAAATAGTCCCCAGTCCGCGACTTGGCTGGTCACGGAGAAATTCAGGCTTGGAAAAGAACGTCCGTGTTCCGCGTTAGTGCTTCACACCCTACCTATCAGCGTGTATGTATATTTTGAAGCAGACGAGTTGTACAAAATTCACAATGAACACTACAATGCTTACAGGTTCTCAGTTTTTCTCACACTGGCTGTTCATCTATTTATCGAAGCGCACTCGTAACTTCTGACCAGTCGGTAATGAATGGGATTGAAAATAACCTTGAAAAAACCAACTCTAGCCAGGCCACGTGACTACACGAAATTGAGTCTATCCTCCGAATGGAGTGGGCAATGTAACGGTAAGCTAGCGACCAACCGAGCTTAGGTACGCCCTAGTTGATTAGAGTCAAGAATCATTTCAGCATTTAAGTATGCAGAAATGCAAAACCCTCCTTTGACTTAACTACAGTACAATTCACCAGTTGAATTCTGGATGAGAAAATTTAAATCACGCGTAAGTCACACATACGATTTTGGGAATCAATCTCCTTTTCTTTACGAGTTGCACGCTCCGAACCGTGATCGTGAAATTCACGTTGCTTCGAAGCAACCGATTTTGCCGATCAAAGTAAGTCATACGATCGAAAATCATCGTAAGTTCTGAACTATTTCAATGGACGGGGTTACTACGTCAGACATTCGGTCAACTCATGGAGTCAAATAGTGAGAGAGATGGTAAATGAAACATGTACTATTGTACTAGTTAACTGCGTACAGGGGCTAAAGCTGAAAGACAACAATGTGAACGATTGAAAGCGGAATAATATCCGTAACGGTAGTCCTGTGCAAGAATTACGTCCGATTGGGTCACTGTACACTCGGAAGGATTCGCTGTCCATCCGGATCACTCTGCGGAGAAAATTCGGCTGGATACATCCTTTAGTAGCCAGTTGATTCCTTCGAGTAAGTTCTCTCCGGTCACGGCACTGCAACCGAGAATACACCAGTGGTGACTTTTGATATTGTCCAGTCCGAGAGCCTCGCGAATCTGAGCTGGCTTCAGAGAAGCTGCCAGGTCCTTTTCAGAAAAAATGTCGAAGAAAGAGGATAACATATATGGCATGAGTTAGTCACCCACGGACCACATATCAGCACAGTTATGAGGGAACGATGGCAGAAGTTGCAGCGAAACCTGACCGTGGTCGGTATTGCTAAAAAAATGCCTAATTCGTTCAACAGAGAACATAGGAAATTTTTCGAACCCGTCTCTACATCACTGCGGTTTGAACAGTACTCCTGTGTCTTGGTGCCACTATAGTGGTTAGGACTGGACTGAAATTCCAGTTCGGTTCTAACAAGTCTGGTCGTGACATGACTCCTTAGGCGTATTGCAACGTAGCAAAAAAACTATGGAGATGAAAGCCACTGTACAATTAACTCCAGTGGTCACATGGGAAGCGGTGAGAACTGGAGCTCTGAAGCTTTATCACTCGTCTGATGAACAACCACAAAACCAAAATGTCTAGAGTTGTGAATCTTATTTACTTATCTTGTATTTGAATATGTTCGTCATCTTGGCCGTAACACAGCCAGCATTTGCCGCATGAATACTTCGTCTATAAAGATGAACTCCAGAGCCCACTATTTAAAAATAAGGAAATCTCAGGGATTGTACTTTATTAGGGAGATAGTTCAATTTCTGAATAAAGGATCGTTAAAACCACAGTTGTAGCACCCTTTCGGTGCCTAACTGCTATACCACCAGAAGGAAGTACGAGGGCTGGGATACTGCCAGGTTGCCCAAGCCTAGACAGGCGGAGGTCGGACCTTCCGGTCAGTAAATTCGCGCCATGTCACCTCCTCCCTCTGCGACTCCAGGGGGTATTTCCCTGTTCCGAACAACGGGTATTTGAGTTCATACAACTTTGGTGAACAGTAGTGAATCAATCAACCAATAACACTATTGGCGAAACTGAACCAACCTGCTTATTGGCAAATACTAATAAGGTCGCACCAGCCAACCGCTCTTCCTGCAGCAATTTGCCAAGCTCCTCACGACAGTCGTTCAGCCGCAGGCGATCAGTGCTGTCCACGACCCAAACAAGAGCGTCTGTTGTTTCAAAGTAATTTCGCCAGTATGACCGGAGCGACTTCTGACCACCGACATCCCAAACATTCAGCTTATATCTATAAGGTGGTAGCGGAATGGAAATTTGAAATTAGTTACCCCATGTGCTCGAGAGTTTGAATACTAAATCCCAAGGTTGGTGAAATGCTATTAATATCTTCACCATTGAATTTCTTCACGATTGTAGTTTTGCCAGCATTATCCAGGCCACTAGGAATAAACGAAGGAGGCGATTATGAGCAAAGGTACGGAAAGATTTAAAATAACAGAGATGCGGAAAGTCAGACTAAAGAGTTCCTGGAGGCGTAAGGAACACACTAGCATTGTTAAGAAAGTGTTTTAAGGAGTAATGTGGTTTATGCAGTTCCCCCGAAAGCATTGTTGACGAGTCTATATATGTGACACCATGTGATCGAAAAATGTAATGGGATGGCAGTTAATGACTAGGAAGGTACCCCAATTGACAGACTAGTCTGTTGTGTTATCCGATTACCAGCAGCAGATGCTGTAAGAACGTGTGCTTGTACAGTGGTTGTAGCTGCCAGTTTCGTTCACCGATTATATGGGAAGGTGGGTTAGACAGGTGCGTATTGGAGGCGAGAGCTTAAATAATTGATGCGTAAATACAGGTCTGACAGTGGACTTTTAAGTTGGGGATTGGGGAGCTATGCATTGAAGAAAATAGCTTGCACGCACTAGCGCCATTGAAAGCGCGATTGGTTCATGCCTAACAACGTCTTTAACCATTGATGTGGCTCGTCTCGGGCCGTCTCCCCATCCAGGTTGACAGTACTGGCATTCATACCTCATTGCCAAGTCATTGCCTGACCTACCCCGGCTCGTTTCCATCCTTTGCGTGGTTGTGTGAAAAGAACCCTTCGAGGAATTCGGTCGACTGGCATACGGAGCACGTGGCCAAGCCAACGCAACCTATGATCAGTTTATCTATCGTGGGTGAGTTATTTATTCCGAATACCATTCGACGTTGACTCGGTGTTCCCACCAGAGTCTGGTCAAAGATATCGACGGTCAAACACTGAAAGCCTTTTGACGTCCTCGGCGCGCAGCGGCCAGGTCTCTAATCAGTATAGTAAAATAAGGCGTGCCGCAGCATTGTAGACTCGATCATCGACGGATAATCTGATGTCATGCAGATGACATGGGTGATGCGGTTTTACAAAAACTATTCTGGCCTTCCCAACCCGGATGAAAACATCATCTTTCGTGAGACCACACGAGCTGATGCAACCTCAATCGGCTCATCCGCAAACGTGAGGAGCGCTAGGTTCAAGTCCACCAAGTCTTGCATTTTACACTTTGCAGGTCTGAGGCGCATGCCAAACCCTGAGGCAGAATTTAGCTTATTTAATATTTGCTTTACGACAGTGCCAGATCCAAGGAGAGCTATATCGTCTGCACACTCGATATCTGTGAGCGGATGCTCCGGGAGCACTCCGACTCCGCAGACATTAAAGGCTCGTAGAAAGTTTTCCATATTCGTATAAATGACGAAGATAAAGAGTAAAGGCGAAATAAGACAGCCCTGCCTACACTACTTGATGTGATGAACTAAGGCTGGAGCTTCCACTAGGGCTTTGCACGTCCGTTAAGCGCTCTCAAGAGTGGTGAGGTATAAAGAGGACAATGATATATTTTATGGTACTATACACTGAAACGTTCACTTAGCGAGGTTGTTTCTTCTTGCAACTGAATATAAGCACATCCAAAGACCTGGATACTTGGGTAACGAAAAGAATTCGTCGATGGACATGTTCGACATAGCTTGTCAGATTATATGGATTTACTTCAAAGAAGTGAATGCTCCAGATGTTCGATATCCTTGTAGATACAGCTTCCCGTTCTGGAGAAGTCAAAAACTCATCACCCTTGAGAAGTTTTTGCGACTGAAATGAGCTTCGATGTATCTTCTGGGGCGGTCTGTTGCACACGCCAGTGAAACATTGTGGTAAGCCTGGACAATCGTCTTCAGCTCCTATCATTATTATTATTCAAGTGTTATCGTGCATTGCCTCATCTTCAGGCCTCGCTACCTTGAGTTCCGAGTTGTGATCACGCCAATTAAGTCATAACCAGAAAAGCTCGTTGGCGTCAGCGAGTGCTGTAGCAAGGGTGCATGGGACACCGTTCGGTTTCGCTTGACAGTCGGTTATCTCGAGGAGAGACTGAAAATGAAGAAACCCCAACATATCTTAGTGGGGGGGGTCCAGAACAAGACCTCAGATCTAGCGAACAGCATTCGCCATTCTCATCCTCCTTTTTCATAAACAGTATAACATCAATGCTCAACATCATCATTATCAGTCGTAAGAACCGCGTACCTGTTGTGCAGTGGTTGTGACTGCCACAATTTCGTCCACCGATGACTTAGGGAGGTGGGGTAGGTAGCTGCGTATTGGAGGTGGGAGCTGATAAATTGGTGCTTAAGTACAGGTCCATCAGTGGACTTTTAAGTGGGGGATTGGGAAGAGAGTTATGCGTCGAAGGCAACAGCTTGAATGCACGAGCTGCGCTCGCTGCGGATTTTCGAAGGTTTGAGTCGTTTAAATACTAGTCTCTGAGATTAATTCTTAAGAGCACTTGGCATTATCATTCGTGCAACCATGCACTGTCAACGTCACAAAGTAATACCACCCGCTAAGCATCTTCAAAATTTATATATATANTAAGTACAGGTCCATCAGTGGACTTTTAAGTGGGGGATTGGGAAGAGAGTTATGCGTCGAAGGCAACAGCTTGAATGCACGAGCTGCGCTCGCTGCGGATTTTCGAAGGTTTGAGTCGTTTAAATACTAGTCTCTGAGATTAATTCTTAAGAGCACTTGGCATTATCATTCGTGCAACCATGCACTGTCAACGTCACAAAGTAATACCACCCGCTAAGCATCTTCAAAATTATATATATATATAATTACAGTACTAGAAAACAAAAAACAGCAAGAAATGTGGCCGGATCACGTCGGAAGTGGAAATGAAGAACAGGACTGTCGCTGAATGTTCTTTAGCCGCATTAGGCACAACCTCTAACCCTACACAGTCATTCTTTTGGCCCCTATCTGAAAGACCTGTATGCTTCAACCGATAATGGTCAGGCAGCGCATTCCTCCAATTTCCTCGTTCACTTCATCCGTTGGCCTCCTGGCCTTTTCTTCCATCCTAACCTAGAGAGCCATCCAAGACAGCGCAGTAGGACTGACTTACCGTCATCTCGTGGTACACATCTTCGAAAGACATACTACTGCCAGCAAATGCGCGAGATGCCCCGTAGCCAAAAGTGATCAAACGCTGATGGCTGTTAAATGTCCCTGACACGAAGAGACCGTTTTTCACACCCACAGGGTAGTATTGCTCGAATTGACTAGCGGTAAACTCATCCTGTCAGCACAAGACTTAGGTCGTCTACACGGATGTCGGAAAGTTGACCTCACTTTTGCTACGCGAGCCACTAATTCGGGAGCAAGACAACTATCGCATACAACTCACAGGCTACATAAGGCAGTCCAAGCAGTGAGGTTCGGTTGCTATAGTCAAAGCGGGTGGCTATAAAAATCTTCAACAGTAGGCTTATGTTGTTAACTTTTCCACTAATTATTTCCAAATACGATGACATCATCTGCGTAGTCCAGATCATGAATCCAGCTCCCTGGAAGATCTATACCACCCCCTATCACGAGGCTGACTGGAAACGGTAAGATTGGACAGCCCCAATGTATTCCGCCGGATACTGGAAAGATGGTTGTACATATGCACACGATTATATAGCGCTTTGAGGTTGTTTACGAAGGCAAACAGTGTATTGTCCTTCATTAGGCACTTCCAAAGAGACGTCCGATCGAAGACATCGTCATCAGCTAGGAAGACTAATGCGCACATCTGCTGGTGCGCACGGCGAATCTCAAGAGCTTCTCCGAGTAAATATCTGATCATGTCCATAGCAGAAACCAGCTTATCCACCACGGCTTACGAGGTCGCTCGTTGGAGATAGCCGACGACCGAAAAAAATTTCCGAAGCGACTGACACTAAGCTAATCTTGTGACACGTCGATCGACTTCATCGTTGACTGGTTTTGTAGGTTGGAATGACCGAAATTCCGGTAAAAGTTCGCGGCCTCAACTTTCCGAAAAGCTAGACATACGGCGCGTCGCCTCCCGCTTTGAGACGTTATGGCGGTATCTCACCTTTCTTTGAGGTCCTGAATTTCTTGAAAAAGCGAAAAGCTTCAGTGACCTCTTGTTGATGAACTCGTTTGACGTCCATAGAGAAAAGAGTACTGGAAGTAGGGTCAGTGGTGTCCCTTCCGGCAGCAGGCCAAGATGGAGTGGGTTGGATTAAATACAGGACAATGATAACAACAATGTAGCTGGATGAATTCATTCTGTACAATCTCGTCTGTCGCCATATGTGTGAGACGGGATAAAATGAAACAAAATACAGGGCTGGTTGCACCGTTTCTACTGAACTAAACTGTAACGCCACTAGTTACAAGAAAAAATAATGGTGTAGCTACAGGGAGTCCTATGGGACCCGCACTGGCCAATAGTTTTATGGCGACAACTGATTAGTTAGTAAAAAAGCACCCCCAGCAGCTTCCATTGTATTAACAGCATTTAACCGACATCGGATTTGTGGGAAGAGACAAAGAGTAGGCGGAACATTTGCCGTTCGTTTTATCGTACTCCACCGAAACATTAATTTTTACTTTTTACTTTGAGATAGAAAACGAAATTTCTCTTTTTGCGTTTTGATCATCAGCAATTCTGTGATTACCGGTAACATCAGTTCAAAAGTATTTGTTTGTTTTTGTCAATGGGGACACTGTTCGCCGAGACACATCGCAATTTTGATGTGGTCTGAATCTCAACGGTATGCAAGAAAATTTTCGTACGTAACGGCGTCATCGACCGTCTGACTGACTAGCAAGACATTATCTCCAGGAGGCAAAATGAGTGTCGTCACCCACCGTTCTTTCCGACAAACAATACTCTTTCTAGCTCTTCTAGGGAAAGCTCGGACAATACGTAACACAACAGTAACGTGAAAACTTACAGGATCAGTATTCGCACCTCGCGCTCCTTTTGTTTCAGCTTCTTCAATATAGTTAACAGGCCCATTTTAAACCATAATTTGGACGGAGAAGGGGTCCTGTCGTACGATTTCAAAGGCGGTGAGCTGAAAGGGTTGAGTAGAGTTGAGTGGAGCGGGATAGAGTGGGTCGCAGTTCTAACTGTCTACTGTCTCCCTTGAATCATATAGATAGGAAAATTTTCGGATACTGCGCACATACATATGAAGAGGCCAGGTAATTAGAGGCCTTTGGGAATGATATAGGTCCGACTCCTCGCCCCTAGAGCTTCATGGCTGCAGTCAGGGACTTGAGCCGTGGACAAAGAGTTGTGAAGGGTACAGCGCTCCAAAGCTGTTTAGGTCGAGGATAGAGGCCAACCTGAAGTAAAGTGCTTCTAATTCGAGGGCGGAAGTTACACTGCTGCGACTGAAGATATCATCGTCTGATCATCGGTGCCTCTGAGGAACTCCTTGGTTTTGATGGGAATATCGGATTTAGTATGCAGAAATAAGTAGAAAAGGACTGAGGAAATTCCACAGATTACGTATACTTGATCACACGCTTTGCAGAGTGAAAACAGCCACGATCGGGCGCGGAACATGAGAACTGTCACCAGGAAACCCACTCACGTCGGCAACTTCGTCTATCTGAATGGTACCTCCCCGAAGGATACTAACATGTCGGTTAGTTTACCCAACATCGTCAACGACTTTCATTCGTCTTCAAAGATTAGACCGTCGATCGCATCTCTAGCTTGAAGTTCGCATCAAAGACGGTTCAACAGCATGGTTTTTAAAACCATTGTCTTATTATTTCACCGATGATAAATTTAAAAAGAACAGACTGTAGAATCCTTGTAAAGCGCCACTTTCACAGGAGGGCTTTTGGACAGCGTGAATAAGAAGATTATGTTGAGGAACTTTAGAGCATTCCTCGTTGTTCGATTTAAGAAACCAAATGAAATTCTGAGGTCAACGGGCCCCAGGACTTTGGGGCGTACGCATATATAGGGCGGATCTAAATTCGCCTTTGACAATTGGTGAGTGATTCCCGTTACCGTCTGAGAAATCAAATCGCTCAACAAAAATCGTTCAGCTGTAACGCCCATTCGGTGCCTTGCTGCCGTGCCACCCGAAAGAAGCACGAGGGCTGGGATACTGCCAGGTTGCCCAAGCCTAGACAGGGGGAGTCGAGAGGCAGAGGTCGGGTTCGAACCATTGGCCTTCCGGTCAGTAAATTCGCGCTCTAAGCACTGAGTCATTTCGCCCAACATGCAGCAGTCATTGGTGGCTCGCCACCCCCTGGGACGGGGTGCCAACCCTTCGCCCATCAAATAAACCGGAATAAACGCAACCAAGCGGACTGCCTCTGTTCTTACAAATTCACGGTCTTGGCCTGCAATATTCTTGTTCTGAAAAGTAACGCTAACTTACTCCCACCAAACTGTCATCTTTTTCGGTGAAACACATCTTCTGAATTCATCTCTTTCTCTCATACCACTGTTTCTGTTTTAGGGGTGGGGTTCGAGCTAACATTAATTGGCAGTTCTACACTAAATGGACTAACACACAAAATAAGCCTACACCCAGTTCTCTCTCTATATTTCCACTGTCTTTCCTCAACTGCTCACCTGAGTTTCTATTTCTTTTTGACTAAATAAAAACATCGTGGATTTCGTCGTAACCATTCAGACTCATCATTTTCAGTTTATTCCCCGGACTCTATCGGCCTTTGTAATGACTGTATTACTTCCTACTCCCAGTTGAATTACATTGTTTGCCACATCTCTGTTTCACCGTCTCTGGCGTTATTCGTCTGCCGGCTGGAATGGCAAGCAATTACTCTTAGACCCTTATACCTCGGATCACTGCATCTGCAGCGATCCTACGACTCTCGCTGAGAACCTCGAGAGAGTTTTTAATGACAAAACGCAACAAATAACATTGTTTTTCATTGACGAACCCGACCTCCAGAATGGCTTAAAATGAAACCGAATGTGAATAATTATCGTCGACAGCATGACATCAGTGTTTGAGACATCAGGGGCCATAACCGAGCGTACAAACGCTGGTGCCCCCCTCCTTCAATGCATTTGGATTACGTTGTTGCTCAAAATTACTGTACTGGTGTCGTTGAAAGGACGAAGGATAGATTCATCAAGCGCGGATGTCAAACATACCAGTCGGAAGTCAATACTGCTGGAATAGCAAAAAGGTTATCGGACGGAGTTTCTACCCTCACTTACGTCCTTGATTCCACTGTATCCCAGAACTTACTTTTTGTCAAAGAGGGACAAAATACCTGCCAATGTTTTCTACTCTACCGTACGTCTGTCCTGCAGATGAAGACTACTTTTCATTGCCTGCAGTTTTAACACAGAGTTGTCCGCAAGTCCATACTACCGTTGAGCGTCCCGGTTGAGCCATCCAGTCCGGATGGTATCCCTCCTATTTCTTTCCGTACATCAGCCCCAAAATTTCCTGTATTCGAGTTCAAACTGCTTGTAAAAGTTCCTAAGAACTCTCCAATCCCAAGCGTGACTGTTCATGTGACCTCCCATCACTGTCACTTCCAAAATAGGTAGAAGCACCCCGAAAACTCGAGTGCCTCTCTCAGGATTGTAAGTGGAGTGTTTAGTGGTTACATGCCCAAGAGCGTATGGATGCAAAGCGCGTGTAAAACAATGGGAGATGAATTAGGTAAGCCCATTCGAAAATAACCTCATCTTCCTCCCCTCGAGTAACACTGTCTTTCGTATGACTTGTACCGACAAGGCTTCCGCCAGTAGCTATTTAAATACCAGGGTTTGAAAATGTATCGGTCGTCTGATCATCCCGACAAGCGAGAAAATGGGTAGAAATGGAGAGAAGAGGCATCTTTATCGGGTGTCACTTTCGAGGAACACGCCCACAGGTCTAAGAACACAAAAGGCTTATTATGTTCATAAACTTCCTGAGTATTTATTGCTAAGGGAGCTCGTTAAGAACAGACCAGTAAACTGAGCCTAATCCATCTTGGAAATCCGGGAATACAAAACTGTGGGTATGTTATATATTTGCTCTGTTTTTCAAACGTTTCATCATTTGTTGCTAAATCACTTTCTTCCGCTTCCAGCTCTCAGTGTCAAAGTTTTGGATGAATAAAGCCTAGCTTTCGGGCCCTCGGTCTTTTCCATTGTTGTTCTGATTGTCGTTGCACTCCGACCCTCGTCGTACACAACAATTTATTCATCCAAAGTTTTCGAACAATGGATCGATTCTTACGTCCTGAACGATTCGATACCGACCCCAGTATTCAAGACTCGGCAGATACCTGGGAGCATTGGTTTTGTACTTTCACAAACTTCCTAGGGTCAATTGGTTCTCATTCACCAGATAAACTGAAAACCTTGTTCAATTACGTCTCCCCTAGTTTTTACCGATTCATCAAAGACTGTAAAGACTATGAATCAGCCATCGAAACCTTGCGAGAAATTTACGTACAGCCGAAAAACGAAGTTTTTGCACAGCATCTTTTGAACACTTGTAAACAGGACGGAGCTCAGAACCTCGATCAGTTTGTGCAGAAGCTTCGCAGTTTATTGCCAGACTGCCGCTTTACAGCCGTCAGTGCAGAACAGCATACCGATGAAGCGTTACGAGACGCATTTATTAGTGGACTTTATTCCAGAGACTGCTGGAACATAAGTTGCTGGATTTTAAAACCGCATACGACCATGCAAAGTCCCTCGAACTAGCGCAAAAACAGTCGTTGTCGTTTTTGCCGAACACTCAACTCCCCTGTGCCACCGTATCGAACGACCCACCAAAGTCTCCACGTTCTCAAACGTCATCGGACGAGCAGGCGACTGCTGCTAGTGTGGGGTCATCATGTTTCTTCTGTGGCTATACTCGTCACCCGAGATATGAATGCCTCGCTAAAGATGCGACCTGCAAAAACTGTGGGAAGAAAGAGCACTTTCAAAAGGTATGCAGACCTACTGGTCCGCGGAACACCTCATCTGTTTCAAGTGCGCTATCTTGCGTCACCACAGCGACCTCCAAGTGTCTAAAAGAAGCAGTCACCGATGTGAAAGCCAATGGTGTCCCACTTCGAG